GGGGGGGGAATGACTTTAAAGAACAAAAAAACAGGATCTTGGAGGGAGTCAAGTCATTAAAAGTCTGCTTAAAGAGACAGGTTTTAACTGTCAGTGAAATAATAAAACCTTTTTATTGAATATGGAATGTTTCATAGCTAAGACATGGCTATTTAAAAGGCTGCATTTTTTCTTTTTTTAAATCTCAGAATGAACATTACCTGTAATTGGTACAAGAGAAACACTGTGCTTACAATATGTACTAAATCCAGTTTAATTTGGGTTTTGCTTGTAATACATATGGTAAAAGGCTACTTTAGTCCTGTGCATAGCAACTAGAATGAATCAAATTCTAGCCCTGTGCTGCTTTCTATCTATGTAAACACTGCTGTATTCGTTTAAATCCACAGTAATTAAATTGATGTACTTTCATGTTATGTGTGAACAAAGATTTTCGAACAACCTTCAACTAAACCACTTAAAAAAATATTCTGATCCCTCACCTCACCCAGCCCACCCCACCGCCCAGCAATACTTTCAATAAAGGCTTAGAATACGCACACACACACACAAAAGACAAATGCTATTTTAAGTTGCATTAACAAGAGTATAGTTTCCAAACCCCATGAGGTACTAATTCCACTCTGTTCAGCACTGGTTAGGCCTCATCTTGAGTTCTTTGTCCAGTTCTGGGCACTGCACTTCAAGAAGGATGTTGACAAATTGGAACAAATTCAGAGGACAACAAGGAAGATCAGGGCGCTGGAACTCAAGCCCTGTGAGGAAAGACTGAAAGAATTGGGTATGTTTAGCCTTGAGAAAAGAAGCCTGAGGGGGAGATATGATAGAACTTTTCAAATACATTTAATGTAGTTATACAGAGGAGGGGCAGGAGCTGTTCTCAATCATCCCAAAGTGCAGGACACAACAATGAGCTCAAGTTACAGAAAGCCAGATTTCAGTTGAATATCAGGAAAAACGTCCTTTTTTCCCGGTCCCCTCCCTATTCATCACTTTGTCTGTTAAAAATATATAGGTAGTAACATTGCTATATTACTTTGTAGTGAACTCTTGTGTATGAAAAAATTGTTTGAACCTTGAAGAATTTAGAGATAACACTTATATATTTTTCAGGAGACTCACCACATAATGTTGTGTATCAAAACGAGGAAGGCAAATGGGTAACGGATCTTGCATATTACACTTCATTTGATAAAGAAGAAATATTAAATCTGTCAAACATGAGCGGAGATTTCATCACTGGATGTATGTCTGATTGTATTTTTCACTTCCTTTAAACATCTCAGTCAGAAATTAGCAGTATTATTAGCTGATTTCATAATTAGTTTTCCTACCCTCTGCTTACAAAATGTGATAGGTAAAAATCTGCAGATCTCTAAACTGCCAATATTTTCTTTGTCATAAAATGTAAGGAGGTTGTGTAGGAGAGAACATAGTATCTTTTCAGCAGTCTTTGGGCAGCGTCTGTTTTTAAAAGTAGTATATACCCAGTTTCCCCGAAAATAAGACCTAACCTGAAAATAAGTATGATTTTTCAGTATGATTTTTCAGAATGCTCATAATATAAGCCCTACCCAAAAAAATAAGCCCAAGTTAAGTGAAACCCCGCCCTCCACCATTGTGCAGCAACCAGAAGATGATGACATGACTGTATTTGAATAAATGTCTATCGTACATGAAAACAATAAAACATCCCCTGAAAATAAGCCCTACTGCTTTTTTGGAGCAAAAATTAATATAAGACCCTGTCTTATTTTCGGGGAAACAAGGTATAAAATTTTGATTTCACTGTAATTAAACACTGCTAAATCAAACGAGGATAAACATGTCATGAATCTAACAGAAAATTACAAAGCTAAAACGTTATTACAAAGCTAAAACGTTAACTCTTTAACACTATATATTTATTACAATTAGATGTGATTCAGAGGATATCTAAAATGTCTCCTGAGGTTAAAGAATGGCTTGTAAGATAAACTTTAGAAAAAGAAGAAAGGATTAGTATATCCTGACTTTAATGTCTTCCAGCCATGAGGGTGCAGTTCTGATCTTGAGATGATATAAGCTTGTTTTATACATATTGTTGCTGCTTCTGAAAATAAGTCATCTCTTTAGGTCAGCGGGTCCCAACTTTGGATCCCTAGATGTTCTTAGACAAAAAACTCCCAGAAGCCACTAGGATGCTGACAAGGATTTCTGGGAGCTGTAGTCCAAGAATATGTGGGGACCCAAGGTCGGGAAGCACTGCTTTAGATAGATGTTCTTGTATTATTAAATACAAAGTATTAATGGAGCTACTAACTGATAGGGAAGCCACTGGTGTAGTGGATAAGAGACAGACTTAAGACTCTGAAGATCTGAGTTGAGATCCCAGTTTGGCTATAGAAACTCACTGCAGAGTGGCAGTGGTAAAACCTCACCTTAAATATCTTACGGATCTTGAAAAGCCTATTAAGGTTGGACAATTTGCAACTTGACATAACAAAATAAACTAGTTAGTATGTAAAGCTCTCAGTGGCAGTATTTTATCTTGCCTCTAACTTAGTTGTCTAGTCTGCCAGGAAGCTTGGAATATGGTGACATGTCAACTGTACCATTTTCTTCTCTACTCTCTGAAAAGCTGATGCAGTTGCTATGATTGCCCAGGATCAAGAAGATTTTGAGAGGGAGCATAGGTTCATGCAGGTAGGTAATATTCTAAAGACCCAGTTCTAGAGCACCTTGAGAGCTAATGATGATTCTTGACAGTTCTGCCTTTGTTACAATTTTAGGAAGAGAAAATGGACCAACAAAATACCTCTGGATTAGGAGATTCTTCATGGAAATCAATTAGTAACTACAACCCTCTAAGAACCTCACAAGCTGACTTCAGCAAAGATGCTAGTTATTTACGACTCTCTCTGGGAGAGTTTTTTGGTCAGAGATCGGAGGCTCTTGGTTGCCTTGGAGGAGGTGGTGATGTGAAACGGGTATGTGGCTAATCTGTCCATATCATTGTGCCACTGGAAACCCATTTGCATTTGGCAGGTTTGTTGTTTATTAGAGCAACTAGAGTTGGATGGGAGGACTATAAATTGTTTGCAAATGCATTTGAATGGGCCATAGCTACATAAGAGACCACATATTGGTCAAAGTGGGCTCTGTTAACTTTATTAAGTTACCTCTGATAGCAGGATAGGAAAAATCTGTACTTGAAACCCACTGCAAAGCAAGAAGCTGTTCTGTATCACCCAGAATTAACTTGATATAATACAGTTTCATGTATATGTATATTTCTGTGGAGGTATTTCATGCCATTGACTGTAAATCACTCTAGTACCAGACAGGCTTTGAAGACACATCTGGCATGTGGCAGATTCATATATAACTTTTGCCAGCTTCTGCTGTAATGCCTATCAAATAATTCATTGCTAATGTTTTATCTTCTTTATAGCCGTCTTTTGGTTATCACATTACTTCTCCGCAGAAGAGACAACCTGTACCTTTACTGAGGCAGTCTGATGTATCTACAGCAAATTCTGATAAACAGAATTTGCAGATTTCTGACACTCTTCAAGGTAATTTCTCTCTAAACAAAGTATTTGTGTATCTCAACTGGAAATAGCTAGCTATTTGTTCATAGGTCCTGAACAAATTTTTGGTTGAGCCAAGTTCCAATATCTGTTTGGAAATTTGTATACAGGTGTTTCTTTGGCTCTTAGGACAGTACAGTGTTATAAAAATGTCTGGAATCCTAATGGTGTTTGCTTAAGGTTTATGTAAATTGTCCCAGTTATCAAATGAAGTGCCAAGGAAAATCTTGTGCAGCTGGGTTATTACCAAGCACATGATCTAGAGCACTGGTTCTTAACCTTGGGTTACTCAGGAGTTTTGGACTGCAACTCCCAGAAGCCTTCACCAACAACTGTGCTGGCTGGGGTTTCTGGGAATTGCAGTTCAAAAACATCCAAGTAACAAAGGTTAAGAACCAGTGATCTAGAGGATCTAGGGTGCCTTATTAATTAGCCAGAATTAATCATGATAAGTTCACAAACCTTAGAGGAACAGCAGTACAATTTTGGCCAACACACCCTTTTAAACGTAATTACAAATGTAATCTGTAAACACTAAAATCATAACACAGTATAATACCCATAGTCCTAAATTGGTAGGGTTCCACAGCCAGATTATATATGGAAAGTTTGGGTGAACATAAGTGTTTTTAGTTATCCAAAATTTAGAAACATGGGAGCAAGCTGTATTTTCTTTCATACTTTATGGAATTATGAAAATGGTTTGCTGTGGGCCCAATTCAAAGTGCTTGTTTTGACATATAAAGCCCTAAACAGCTTGGGCCCTGGATAATTGAAGGACCACCTCCTTCCATATGAGCCTACCCGGCTGTTAAGATCTAGCCAGGGGGCCCTTTTGAAAGAGCCATCCCTCGAGGTAAGAGGGATGGCTTGTAGACAAGGGGTCTTCTCGGCAGCTGCCCCCAGATTATGAAACGCCCTCCCGACTGAAATTCGTCTGGCGCCGACACTGATGATATTTCGGCGCCAGGTCAAAACCTTCCTGTTCCAGAAGGCTTTTAATTGAAATGACATTAACTGTGGGTCTTGATGGTGGCAATTTTAATTGTATTTTAATCGTATTTTAATCGTATTTTAATCATTTTATATTTTATTGTATTGAATTTTAATTGTTGTAAGCCGCCCAGAGACCTTTGGGTAGAGTGGGTGGCATATAAATTAAATAAATCATAAAATAAAATAAATAATAATAAATAATAATAATTAAATTATACAACAAGCTGTTGGTCTTTCAAATAAGCTGTTTCAACAATGAGAGCCAAATTCAGTTTCCAGGGAATTTTCAGGGACTTCTTTTAGCTTAAACTCTTACTGATGGTAACTAAGCCTTAGTAGAGACATTTGAATCTTAAACAATGGTAAAAAAAACCCAAAAGAAAACTCATACAAAATACAGGAAATAGCTGTTGATGATATTGTCAGAAAGAGAGTGTGAACATCTGGGAGATGCCAAAGTATCAGATTTGGCTCTAGAGTCTAATATTCTCCACCTCTAAATCACTATATACGTGTTATAATTAAATTGCTTGGAGGATACACTTATTTTTTTAAGTATTTATTTGAGGACAGGGTAGGGAATATAAAAAGTAATGGGAAAGAGGGAAGAGGGGAAAAAAAGGTTAGGGGGGTAGGAGAGCACAGAGTATACCATCATCCAATCAATTCATATTACAATAACAAATCAACTTTTTGCTTTTTCAGTTTGATTACCCTCCTGCTTTCATCTTATCATTTAATTTTAGTTTAATTCTATGTTACTCCAACACTATCTGGTAACTGCAGCCATTTATACAATACATCCCATCGCTCAGTTTCCTTTTGAATTACAGTGGTGCCTCACTTAACGATGTTAATTGGTTCCATTAAAAAAATCGTTATGTGAAAACATTGTTAAGTGAAACACCATTTCCCATAGGAATGCACTGAAAACCAGTTAATCCGTTCCAATTGGAACGGATTGCCGTCCTTAAGTGAAAATTGCCATAGGAAACATCGTTGAGTGAAACGCGGTTCCCCAATTGAAATGCATTGAAGCCGACTCAATGCATCTGAATGGGTTTGCGAAGTCCCTTTTCACTCCTGTAAAAGTGTCTTAAACTGTTTGAAGCCTGTTTTAAATGCTCGCAATCGTTAGCCCACCTCCTGAAACCTATGCAAACTTAATTTGGTGTTGTTCTGAGGCACCACTGTAAATTGAATTTCAGCCCATCTGACAGAATATCCATTTTTGTCACTTCCCATATTTTCACAATAAGATTCTCTTGTTTCAGTGTCTTTTTCTTGAGATTTTTAACATAATGCTTTTTAATTTTGGAAGCTGCATAGGTCACTGGATAACTCTCTATCCCATCTATGTTACCTGGTGTCATGCCCAATAAAGACGGTTCTAAAGTTTGTGCAGTTTCATTTAAGTTTTCTTTGGCATCTAATGTCCCCTCTTTCGTCACTTTCATCAGATCTTCTATTTTGCTAAGACCTTCATGTACTTGCTGAAACCCTGTTATTATTATCTTTTGCATAGTAATCTGCCATTCCTTTTCTATTTCTTGTACCACTGTTCCAAAACTTTGGGATTGAACAGACCAAGTCTCCATTTGTTGTCTTAAATTTTTGGAGGCCATCTCAGGCTTACCAATGAATGGGGTTT